ACTAGACGGTCTTGTTGCCGCTCCACCATCGGGAACCAATCCGTCTTCAACGTTTCAGCCACGTCGCTCTTCTTGGCCAGCACGTACACCCAAGTCATGCGGGTGTAGACGTCGACAATGGTGAGAAAATACTCAGCTCCAGCAGCTCCAAGCTTCAGGGGGCCCACCACGTCCATCACCACCTCATCAAGCGGTGCCTTTGCCGTTGCCTCCGAACTAGGAACGGAAACCGGGTGAACTTGGCTTGAATGCACGTCGGGCAGCCAAGCACCTCATCGGGCTCCCCCTTCACACGTATGCCAGCAACCATCTCATTCTTCACTAGCTGCTGCAAGATGGGCAGGGCCACATGCCCCATGCGCCGATGCAAGGTGAGCCAATCACACTCCCCCGTAGCCGAAGTTGGATTGGAGAATGCCGCGCTCGCAATAGCGCCCCACATACTCTCTCCGTAGTCCTCCTCCGCTGCTGCCTCTGGGTTGTCCTCACCCTTTTGCTGCTCCTTGGTTGCTGCACCACTCTCCTTAGGTTCACTGAACTTGCTGGTCCCTCCAGGTTTGCTCTTCTTGAGCTCATTCTCCTTAGCGCGACCGTTCGCGCCATCGTCGCTACCGACCGCTCCATCCTTGGTGCTGATACTTGCTGCCACTTGCCTCTCCTTAGGCATAGGGACCACTGGGATCTGCCACATCTCGTTGTAGACATCCCTGTCCTCATGAAGGTCCCAAAGAATTCGATCGCCAAGCCTTGCGGTGTAGGTCTTGGCTCCCTTCGAGTTCGTGTCCATGCCGGCCTTTGCCAACCGCCGCACGGAAATCAGGTTTGCAGCAAGGCTGGGCACCCAAAGCACGTTCTTGAGGCCCACCATCTTCCCATCAGCACCCTTGAACATGGCCTTGCCCATGCCTTTCACCTCTGCTCGCTGCCCCAAAGCCGATGTGACATGCTTCACCGGTGACGGCTCGAGTTCGGTGAGCAAGTCCGGGCGAGGTGTCATGCTATAGGTAGCGCCACTATCAATCACCCAATAGTCCAGGGGGTGTAGGGTCACCTTCCCCACAGCTGCTGGCTCCTCAAAGCCTTCATCCTTCTCTGGACCAGCCGGTACTTGCGTCGACACGAAGTAGAATAGACCCGGGTATCGATCGTCGCTCGGGTCCTTGTCGTTGTCTCCGCTCTTCATGTTTGCAGCTCCGCCACCGCGACCGCCACGGCCTCCACGGCCTCGTCCTCTCCCTCCTCCTGCTCCTCTACCCTCTTGGCCTTGAGCAGGGGTCCAACCATCAGGGAGTTTGTAGCAGTCGCGCCACATGTGTCCGCTCTTGTGGCAATAGTGACACTCGCCGTCGAATCGGCCGCGACCGCGTCCGTAGCTCTTGTCGTCGCTGCCGTAACCGCCACTCCTGCGGCCTCCGCCGAAGTTGCTGCCACCAAACCTTCCTCCCCCTCGTCCTCTGCCTCTTCCTCGACCATATCTACGGCCGATGCTCGCTGCCCCAGCGCCATCCGCACTCGCCAACTCACGGCGGCGGAAATCCTCTTGAAGGATAGCTCGCTTCACGTCTTCAAGCGAGAGGCGGGGCAAGTCGCGATTAAGGTTGATGATGAGCGAGGACCATGACTCTGGGAGTAAGGCCAGCAACTTGGTCTTCTTTTGGAGCTCACTGTAGTTCAAATCAGCTCCCCCAAGCCGCGTCAACAAGTCGAAGAATTTCTGCACCCCTTCTTCAACCGCTTCGTCTTCTTCAATTCGTAGTGCCGCCATTTGCCGTTCCAACACCACCGCTACCCGCCGCTGTTGCAGGAGCATGTACACACCCTTGAGAGCAGCCCATGCCTTTGGTCCTTTCTCTGGTTCACGCTGGAATGGTTTGATGTGACGGATCTGACTGCTCCCCACGCTTGCCCAAGTAAGAGATAGCCTTGTGCGCTCTTCCGCACCCACGGGTTTCTTCTCCGGGTCGTTCTCGGGGCGCTTCTCCGTTCCTTCCATCACCTCCAGCAGGTCATAGTGGTCAAAGATGTTCTCCATCTTGAAGGACCATTCAGCAAAGTTGTCACCGTTGAACTTGTCAAGCCCAAACACCCTAGGCTCATCCCTAGGTGGGCCAAGACTTGGTTGCATGGGCGCCATGGCTGAATCACGGGGTTGGCCTTGAGCTTGAGCTTCTCCACTGCCACCAGCACCTCTGCCACCCCTTTCCTCAGGTCCAGACATTGTCGAAACTGCTCCAAGGGGCTCTGATACCACTTGTTATAGTCACAATAGGCTTGAATGTGCCTAAAACGAAAGATAGAGAGCACAGACGGATTTCAGCACAGCGGCTTCAAACGTTGATAGCGTTCTGCTCACAAGCTGCAAATGACCTGATTCAAATTGGATCTGGAGCGTCTTCACGTCGTCTACAATTAGCAATTTAGATTGCACGATTTGATAAAAAATTGACGACACAGCGTCGGTTTTGAACGAACGGTACTATGGCAGCCACTATAGTCTTAGAACACAAGATAGGAAGACTTACGAGTTGGGAATGACTCCCAGCTCCTACAAACCCCAAGAGCCGAGGTACAGTGATGTGGAACAGTGCCACACTGTCCCTAACCACGAAGGGTCTCGAAACTACCCTTCACTAGGGCCTACACCAAGTGAAATGTTACACTACACAAAGTAATGTAACTATCTTCAATATCTTGAGGTGTACCCTTTTGGCGAGCTTCGAAATCACTTGAGGCTTGACACCAAGGCTCGGGCTCTTCATCACAAACTCATCCTTGAGTTCTTGATGAGTCTGCTGCACACACCTGCGACACGCCGAACGTTCGACACAGGACAAAATAGAAACCGCGCACGACAAAATAGAAACCGCGCGCGAGACACAAACGACCGCGTAACACGCGTCTAGCGATAACTCGCTATTGACTCGACACACACACTCGACATCATGACTCAACATTCACACACAATTATAAGCATGAAATATATATTATCCCATGCCCTCATACCATTCCATACACACACACATTCACGCACACGGACAACAAGCCGAGTGCAAACCGTAGGGTTGCACCAACACCCCACAGCTGCTGGCTCCTCAAAGCCTTCATCCTTCTCTGGGCCAGCCGGTACTTGCGTCGACACGAAGTAGAATAGACCCGGGTATCGATCGTCGCTCGGGTCCTTGTCGTTGTCCTCCGCTCTTCATGTTTGCAGCTCCGCCACCGCGACCGCCACGGCCTCCACGGCCTCGTCCTCTCCCTCCTCCTGCTCCTCTACCCTCTTGGCCTTGAGCAGGGGTCCAACCATCAGGAAGTTTGTAGCAGTCGCGCCACATGTGTCCGCTCTTGTGGCAATAGTGACACTCGCCGTCGAATCGGCCGCGACCGCGTCCGTAGCTCTTGTCGTCGCTGCCGTAACCGCCACTCCTGCGGCCTCCGCCGAAGTTGCTACCACCAACCTTCCTCCCCCTCGTCCTCTGCCTCTTCCTCGACCATATCCACGGCCGATGCTCGCTTGCCCCAGCGCCATCCGCACTCGCCAACTCACGGCGGCGGAAATCCTCTTGAAGGATAGCTCGCTTCACGTCTTCAAGCGAGAGGCGGGGCAAGTCGCGATTAAGGTTGATGATGAGCGAGGACCATGACTCTGGGAGTAAGGCCAGCAACTTGGTCTTCTTTTGGAGCTCACTGTAGTTCAAATCAGCTCCCTCAAGCCGCGTCAACAAGTCGAAGAATTTCTGCACCCCTTCTTCAACCGCTTCGTCTTCTTCAATTCGTAGTGCCGCCATTTGCCGTTCCAACACCACCGCTACCGCCGCTGTTGCAGGAGCATGTACACCCTTGAGAGCAGCCCATGCCTTTGGTCCTTTCTCTGGTTCACGCTGGAATGGCTTGATGTGACGGATCTGACTGCTCCCCAACGCTTGCCCAAGTAAGAGATAGCCTTGTGCGCTCTTCCACACCCACGGGCTCTTCTCCGGGTCGTTCTCGGGGCGCTTCTTCCGTTCCTTCCATCACCTCCAGCAGGTCATAGTGGTCAAAGATGTTCTCCATCTTGAAGGACCATTCAGCAAAGTTGTCACCGTTGAACTTGTCAAGCCCAAACACCCTAGGCTCATCCCTAGGTGGGCCAAGACTTGGTTGCATGGGCGCCATGGCTGAATCACGGGGTTGGCCTTGAGCTTGAGCTTCTCCACTGCCACCAGCACCTCTGCCACCCCTTTCCTCAGGTCCAGACATTGTCGAAACTGCTCCAAGGGCCTCTGATACCACTTGTTATAGTCACAATAGGCTTGAATGTGCCTAAAACGAAAGATAGAGAGCACAGACGGATTTCTGCACAGCGGCTTCAAACGTTGATAGCGTTCTGCTCACAGCTGCAAATGACTTGATTCAAATTGGATCTGGAGAGTTTTCACGTCGTCTACAATTAGCAATTTAGATTGCACGATTTGATAAAGATTTGACGACACAGCGTCGGTTTGAACGAACGGTACTATGGCAGCCACTATAGTCTTAGAACACAAGATAGGAAGACTTACGAGTTGGGAATGACTCCCAGCTCCTACAAACCCCAAGAGCCGAGGTACAGTGATGTGGAACAGTGCCACACTGTCCCCAACCACGAAGGGTCTCGAAACTACCCTTCACTAGGGCCTACACCAAGTGAAATGTTACACTACACAAAGTAATGTAACTATCTTCAATATCTTGAGGTGTACCCTTTTGGCAAGCTTCGAAATCACTTGAGGCTTGACACCAAGGCTCGGGCTCTTCATCACAAACTCATCATTGAGTTCTTGATGGGTCTGCTGCACACACCTGCGACACGCCGAACGTTCGACACAGGACAAAATAGAAACCGCGCACGGACAAAATAGAAACCGCGCGCAAGACACAAACGACCGCGTAACACGCGTCTAGCGATAACTCGCTATTGACTCGACACACACACTCGACATCATGACTCAACATTCACACACAATTATAAGCATGAATATATATTATCCCATGCCCTCATACCATTCCATACACACACACATTCACGCACACAAACAACAAGCCGAGTGCAAACCGTAGGGTTGCACCAACACAACCCCCCCGCCGCCTGCACCACCGCCACCTCCACCGCCACCCCCACCGCCCCTGCCACCCCTGCCGCCCCTGCCGCTGCGACGCTTCCCACTAGGAGCGGAAGCAGCTCCGACCTCCTCAGCACCAAGGTAGTCGTGAGCAGCAGCTGCGGAGGCGTAGGAGGGGGTGAGAGGGGAGGGGGAGCACCCCTCAAAGAGGGGAGAGCGAGGAGTGCCACGAGCAGCACCTACAGCGAGGATGTTCTTCTCTGCTGCGAGGAGGTGCTTCTCGAAGTCGTCGACAGTGAGAGTGGTGGGGTCTAGCGCTAGGAAGTGGTCCCTGACAGAGCTAAGAGTGTCAGGGAGGTGGATGACGAGGAAATAGAGAGTGAAGTACATCGGGGCGGGGGGGGGGGGGGGGGGGGTTGCGGCGCAGAACTCGGCTGAAAGGGCGGCACGAAAGCGAGTGTCAGTAGCGCGCAGATGAGAAATGAGGTCATCAGCAGCGGTGAACGAGGAAAGGTCGGGGAACAGGTAGGGTAGCATGAGCCGACCTATGGCTGCAGTGGCCGGGGAGGAGTAGCGCGCAACTACAGCGTCGTACAGCGTCTTAGCACTTTTGTGCTGGCTGAAATGCGCGCGCTCAGTAATCGGCAGATGGTTCCTAATAGCTAGGCGTGCAGCAGCATCGCAAGTCTGCCACTGCGAGCGTTCAAGAGCAGGAGCATCGGCAGTAGGAGCAACGGCAGTGCCAGACACGTAATCGAACAGTGAAACGCCCTCTTTGGCATCGGTCAGAAGGAACAGTTGGAGGTCGTCTAACCACACAGCGAACTCTATGGGGCGACCGTCAAGCTCGAACGCGAGAACGTTAGGCGTCGTCATAACGGTAGCAGGCAAAGGCAGTAGGCAGCAGGCAGCAGACAGGAGGCAGTAGGCAGCAGGCCGCAGGCAAAGACAGAGACAGCAGGCAGTAGACAGGAGGCAGCAGGCAGTAGACCGCAGGCTAAGACAGAGGCAGCAGGCAGCAGGCAGCACATGCAACTTGCAGGGCAGTAGCTTGCCGCACTCAAGCTCCTAAGGCGGCGTGCTAGACAGTAGCAGGCCGCGCGCTTTCTAAGGCAGCGGGCTAGGCAGCAGCGGGCCTCGCAGGTAGGCACACGAGCAGGGCACGCACGGCTGCTGGCTGCGTGCGGCTGAGGGCTGCGTGCGGCTGCTGGCTGCGCGTGGCGACGGGCTGCGTGCGGCTCCTGGCTGCGCATGGCGACGGGCTGCGCGCGGCTCCGGGCTGCGTGCGGCGGCGGGCTGCTCGGGCGTGGCCTAAGCAGGCTGCGCGCAGGCGGCGGAAGTGGCGCGCGGGCGGGGCCTAAACGGGCCGCGCGGGCGGGGCCTAAACGGGCTGCGCGGGCGGGGCCTAAACGGGCCGCGCGGGCTGCTTAAGAGGCGCGCGCGGGAAAAAAAAAAAAAAAAGGGGCCGCGCGCGTGCAGCCGAGGCGCGCGCGGGCAGTAGACAAGGCAGGTAGGCAGGTGAGGTAATATGGTAATCGGTGGGCCCTAATCCTAGGTCCTAAGGACCTATGCTCTATATGCCATGTCAAGCTCTTAGGCAAGTGATGGATGAACTATCGAGAGTTTGGTACAAAAGAAAACCTAAGGGTTGTACCCCACAGTGAGTACCCCACTAAAGCCTACCTAAACTATAACATATAAACATATGTTTGACAGGTGTCGCTGTTGTTTGATTGTGCAGGTGCTGCTTGTTGATGCTGCTCGTAGAAGGACATGAAGGAGAAGAATTTCTCCATCATGCTTGGATCGAGGCCTGTTGGTTGATTCGCGGGAGTTTCGGTAGACTCCGCAGCTGGTCTTGTAGCTGTACCTTCTTCTGTCTGTTGGCCAGAAGCTGGAGGTGGAGAAGGAGTAGTGCCGGGAGATCCGTTGGAGGAACTCCTCTCCTTCTGAGTTGCCATGCCTTGCGCTGTTGTAGGAGTTTTTGTAGTGGATCTTGCCTGGAGGCTCTCATACCATGTTGGGCTGAGAAAAGCCCTTAGGATCTTTTCAAGGCTAAGATTTGGAGTAGAAATGTTGTAATTGTGGAAGCGTATAATAAACTTGTTGAACTGTTGAACCACCTTGCACTAGTGTGTGAGAGCAAGATGAATTGATTAAAGCAAAGAGATACAAGAATATATATGATTACAAGGAATACGAAGAGGTGCGATTAACTGTTTTTGCTGTTGCAGTTCGATACAGTGACGACTCGGGCAACTGCTCAATACCGAGTCAGTTGTTTGTCCTTGCTGCCGCGCTGTATTTTGTCGAGTCAAAGGTCGCTGACCTTTGACCTTCGCGTAACCTCCAGCTGTTACTTTCTGTCAAACTCTTCGGTTGACTCGCCGTTGCTCCGCTGTGATTTGCGTCGTTTGTTGTCTTATTGTTTCGACACAACAGGAGCGTTTAAATTACTTGTTTCCAACATTTCTCTCCATCTGGTGTAATCCCAGAACGATCAGACAGCCTCCATAAAATCCCCACGGAGGGGAGGCCCCGGTAGTAGTACAAGGCTATATAAACAGGGTAGGGCCTCTCCGGACAATCAGTTTCGACTGAGAATGTATGCACTTCCTATAGTGCAATATCATTCACAAAAAAAAACCGTGTATTGAAGTGTCCATTAACGAGGTCCCTGGTTCCCAGGTTTCAAGGCGAAACCCCAATTGCCCGCCTCGAATTGCAGCCACCTGCATTGAACGTTGGGTCTCACGCAACAAGCTCGATGTCTCCAGCAACAATACCCACGTTTCTGCCAAGCAGTTCGTTTTACCCTTTGTTTTCTAGTGCTTTCATTTTATCACATTTATGCTTGACACCAACCACTGCTATTATCTTTTTGTACATCTCGTTCCCGCCAAAAGGTTTTTTGTCAATTGCCCAGTGCTTGGATGGGTGTGTAGTGTTGCCCTTCCTATGCCCTCGCACTCTCGCTTTGCTTACCGCATTCGTGCGGGCTTGTTTGTCGAGGGTGAGTGGAAGAGCACAAGGACGGACGGCCCTCACCAAACAGCAGCTTAGGTCAAGACCGGACGGCCCTCATCTCTGCATATCATATCTCCTCAAACTAAAGCCATACATTTTGCCTACCTCCCGACTAACGTGTCACTTCCGCGGTGCAACCACACCTACAGGAGCACCCCATTACCCTCTAGACTGTCGTGCCGCAGACCCTCCGCAGCCCCTGCTGATTGCTTTTCTTCCTGCCTTCGTTACCCGTCATGCACGTTAGTTAGTCGCAGCAACTTGTTCTAGGTAGCACGAGGCGGGGCCACGAGCCGAGGATGTCGCTACTGACAGAGTACGAGGGGTGGAAGGAATCGCCAGACGTCGAGTCGCTGCTGCCGTCCACGTCGCAGCCATCGGAGTCGCAGCCGCCGACATCCCAAACCCTCTGTACCGTCCCTTACCACTCCGCCTTCAGCGACCGACTCCGCTCAACTGCCGTCCCCTCGCCGGCCACACCCACACCCGCCGGGCGCTGCCGCCATTCCGTCCGCCTCTACACCGGCAACCGCAAGGCTGCCGCGAGGGGAGAGCGATCGCGGGCCACGGTCGAATGAAGGGGAGGCGGCGGAAGCGCAACGCCTTCCGCCGTCCGTCAGCACCGGCGGCAAAGCGAAGCAACGCAGCGGGCCCTTGAACCGGGTAACGTCCGCGCTGCGCCCCATGTCCGCCATGTACCCCCGGCGCAAGCCGCTAGGCGCGGGAGTGCGCTTCGACGACGATCGCGACGTCCCCTCGCCGAGAGCCGACGGAAGCAACAGCTTACCGAGGGCGAGCGCCGCCGTCGACGCGCAGCCCGACGACGGGGGGGCGTTGACGGGCGGGCCGAAGCAGCCGGGGGAGGAAGGCGGAGTGCAAGGCGAGGGCGGTGTGGGGAAGGTGGGGTCGGGGCGGAGCAAGTGGCAGATGGTGCGGCGGTCGCTGAAAGACATCAAGGAAGTGGAGCGCGAACTCAAGGACATGGCGGACACCGCGCGCGCAGGGGCGGCGGCGGACGACGAGGGCGCGAGTGAGGGCGCGGACGACGACGACCTGGAGCGGCTCGCCAAGGACCTCGAAGCGCTGCGCGCCGAGCGCAAGGCGCGGCAGCAGCAGCAGAAGCAGCAGCGCGCGACGAACCTGATAGGCAACGCGGGCGGACCGCCGCAGTCGGCGGTGCACGTGGACATGCCGGGCGGCGTGCGGCAGCGCAAGATGGTGCGGCAGAGTGTGATCATGTGCATGGACCCCATGTGCAACCGCTGCCCGCCCGAGATGCACCTCCACATGCGCAAAATGATGGCCGCCGCCGCGCCCGGCGCCAGCGCGGCCGTGACGACGGTGGCGAAGGACTACTCGGCGATGGACTGGATGCTGGACGACGACGGGGACGAGGATGGCGACGGCGAGGAGGAGCTGCTCGTCACACTGCGCTGCTGCGGCCTCCGATTCACCTACGTGAGCCACCACACCCGCGCTGCACCCATTTACCTACGTGAGCCACCACACCCGCGCTGCACCCATTCACCTACGTGAGCCCCCGGCGCTGCCTACTCGCAGCGAGGCATTGCCACTGTCGGTGTCCGTGCTGCATTGCCATTGCCACCACCTTCCCATCCCTCCCCACCCCTCCCCCTCACATCCCTCCCATCGGTCCCATCCCTCCCCACCCCTCTGCGCCCCTGGCAGCGGCGGCGGCGCTTCCTGCTGCGGCGGTTCTTGGCGGAGCTGTGGCCGCCGCCGCTGCTGCACCCGCACAGCTACTACGTGAAGCTGTGGGTGAAGCTGCAGTTCGGCATGATGCTCGCCGCCTTCCTGCTCGACCCCTTCTTCCTCCTCGTCCTCTCCGTCTCCCAGGTACCCGCCCCTCCCTCACCCGGGTACGTGCCCCTCCATCAGTCAGGTAGGTCCTTCTCCCTCATCCACCTGCCTCTCTGTCAGTCAGGTGCCTCTCCATCAGTCAGGTGCCTCTCTGCCAGTCAGGTGCCTCTCCATCAGTCAGGTGCCTCTCTGCCAGTCAGGTGCCTCTCCGTCAGTCAAGTGGTTCCCACCACCCTGGGTTCCACTCCCCTTCGTCCAATCATATATTTTCTGCAAAACACCGTCCACTTTAAGGCCAGCATCATTTGTCTGTATGTGTGTGCACGTGCATGTGTGTGCGTGTGCGTGTGTGCGTGTGCGTGTGTGCGCGTGGGCATGTGCAGGAGAACATGTGTGTGTACACGAGGTGGACATTCGCCTACTGTCTCGTCGGCATTCGCACCTTCCTTGACTTCCTCACGCTCCTCAACATACTAGTGCATGTGAGTCTCTCTCAACATACTCGTGCATGTGAGTCTCTCTCAACATACTCGTGCATGTGAGTCTCTCTCAACATACTCGTGCATGTGAGTCTCTCTCAACATACTAGTGCATGTGAGTCTCTCTCAACTTGCTTGTACATATTGAGGCTCTCGCCTTTCCGTGCCATGCTTGTGCGCTCAGTCCCCCATGCCGCACCCCTCTCCCTGCCACTGCATCACCTCTCCCTTCAGCCCCCATTCCCCTACCCACTTTCCTCCCCACTTTACTCCCCACTTTCCTCCCCACTTTCCTCCCCACTTTCCCTCCCCACTTTCCTCCCCACTTTCCTCCCCGCTTTCCTCCCCGCTTTCCCTCTCCACTTTCCACTTTCCTCCCCACTTTCCTCCCCACTTTCCTTCTCCACTTTCCACTTTCCTCCCCACTTTCCTCCCCACTTTCCCTCCCCACTTTCCCTCTCCACTTTCCTTCCATCGCTGCTCTATCCCAACGAACCCCCTCGTATCCCCTCCTCCTCACCCCTCTCGCCCGTTCACAACACCTCCCCCCTTCCCCCCGGGTGTGCATCAGACTCGCATGATGTTCAACGCCACGCACGACCATGTCAAGGATGGCAACATAAAGAACTCGAGTGGCGAGAAGGTGAAGCTGGGCGACCTGGTGGTGGACGGCCGCGCCATCCTCATCAACTACCTCCGAACGCTCTTCCTTGCCGACCTCCTCGCCCTCATCCCCCTCCCCCAGGTCCGCCCCTCCCCACCTCCGTTCCGTCCCTCGCCAACTTCGCCCATCCATGGGTCCCTCTTTCCCCAGGGCCGCACCTCCCACAAGTCTCACCTCCTTGTGCCGCTCGCTCTGCCCTCGCTCACATCGTTCCGCTCCCTGCTCTCCTCGCCATCCCTCCTTCCATGCCCTCCTCGCCATCCCTCCTTCCCTATGCACCCTGCCCCTCCCCTCCTTTGCGCTCCGCTGCTCCTGCCTCACTCCACCAAGCTGTCCCTCTCCTCCCCTCCCAGATAATAACAGTGGCGGTGCTGCCGCTCTCGCCCGACATCAACGTGTCGCAGACGTGGCAGGTGGCGGTGCGCATCAGCGTGCTGCTGCAGTTTGTGCCGCGCCTCGCGCGCATGTACCCCATGCTGTCAGGCCAGGGCAGCCACTCCGTGCTCTTTGAGACCGCCTGGGCCTCCTTCCTGCTCAACCTGGTTGCCTTCTTCATGGGCTCCAACGTGGTCGGCACGCTCTGGTACCTCCTCACCATGCAGCGCACCGCCACCTGCCTCGTCAACTCCTGTCTGCCCGACTCCTCGCCGCCCTGCTACCAGTCCTTCCTCAGCTGCCCGGGGGACGGTACACAGGGGTACAGCGAGTGGCGGGCGAACAGTACGAGCATGTACGACCAGTGTCTGAGCAGCAGCGGCATCAGCAGCGACTTCTACGGCATGTACACCACGGGTGTGCGCGTCGTGCAGCTCGGCTCCTTCTTCTCCACCTGGCTCTACTCCCTCATGTGGGGCTTCCAGGTAACCCCTCCCCCCCCACCCCCACCCTCACCCCTACGCCCACCACCAACCCCACACCTCTCTCCTCGCTCTCTTGACTTGGACTCTCCTGTTCTCCAACCAGCTGGTCTTCCCTTGTCCCTCCAGCCTCCCTGACTCCCCTCTCTTCCTCCTCTCACTCGACATGCGGTGTGGTGTGGTGTGGTGTGTGTGTGCGTGAACGGTGTAATGTGTGTGTGTGTGTGAGGGGAGCAGCAAATCAGTACACTAGCAGGCAATCTGGTGCCGACCACGGAGGTGGGCGAGGTGGTCTTCATGCTGCTCATCGTCGCGCTCGGGCTCTTCCTCTTCGCCTTCCTCATCGGCAACATGCAGAACTTCCTGCAGTCCCTCAGCCGCAGGTCAGTCAGTCCCTCAGCCGCAGGTCAGTCCCTCAGCCGCAGGTCAGTCCCTCAGCCGCAGGTCAGTCCCTCAGCCGCAGGTCAGTCCCTCAGCCGCAGGTCAGTCCCTCAGCCGCAGGTCAGTCCCTCAGCCGCAGGTCAGTCCCTCAGCCGCAGGTCAGTCCCTCAGCCGCAGGTCAGTCCCTCAGCCGCAGGTCAGTCCCTCAGCCGCAGGTCAGTCCCTCAGCCGCAGGTCAGTCCCTCAGCCGCAGGTCAGTCCCTCAGCCGCAGGTCAGTCCCTCAGCCGCAGGTCAGTCCTCAGCCGCAGGTCAGTCCCTCAGCCGCAGGTCAGTCCCTCAGCCGCAGGTCAGTCCCTCAGCCGCAGGTCAGTCCCTCAGCCGCAGGTCAGTCCCTCAGCCGCAGGTCAGTCCCTCAGCCGCAGGTCAGGGTCCCTCAGCCGCAGGTCAGTCCCTCAGCCGCAGGTCAGTCCCTCAGCCGCAGGTCAGTCCCTCAGCCGCAGGTCAGTCCCTCAGCCGCAGGTCAGTCCCTCAGCCGCAGGTCAGTCCCTCAGCCGCAGGTCAGTCCCTCAGCCGCAGGTCAGTCCCTCAGCCGCAGGTCAGTCCCTCAGCCGCAGGTCAGTCCCTCAGCCGCAGGTCAGTCCCTCAGCCGCAGGTCAGTTCCCCTCAGCGCAGGTCAGTCCCTCAGCCGCAGGTCAGTCCCTCAGCCGCAGGTCAGTCCCTCAGCCGCAGGTCAGTCCCTCAGCCGCAGGTCAGTCCCTCAGCCGCAGGTCAGTCCCTCAGCCGCAGGTCAGTCCCTCAGCCGCAGGTCAGTCCCTCAGCCGCAGGTCAGTCCCCTCAGCCGCAGGTCAGTCCCTCAGCCGCAGGTCAGTCCCTCAGCCGCAGCCGCAGGTCAGTCCCTCAGCCGCAGGTCAGTCCCTCAGCCGCAGGTCAGTCCCTCAGCCGCAGGTCAGTCCCTCAGCCGCAGGTCAGTCCCTCAGCCGCAGGTCAGTCCCTCAGCCGCAGGTCAGTCCCTCAGCCGCAGGTCAGTCCCTCAGCCGCAGGTCAGTCCCTCAGCCGCAGGTCAGTCCCTCAGCCGCAGGTCAGTCCCTCAGCCGCAGGTCAGTCCCTCAGCCGCAGGTCAGTCCCTCAGCCGCAGGTCAGTCCCTCAGCCGCAGGTCAGTCCCTCAGCCGCAGGTCAGTCCCTCAGCCGCAGGTCAGTCCCTCAGCCGCAGGTCAGTCCCTCAGCCGCAGGTCAGTCCCTCAGCCGCAGGTCAGTCCCTCAGCCGCAGGTCAGTCCCTCAGCCGCAGGTCAGTCCCTCAGCCGCAGGTCAGTCCCTCAGCCGCAGGTCAGTCCCTCAGCCGCAGGTCAGTCCCTCAGCCGCAGGTCAGTCCCTCAGCCGCAGGTCAGTCCCTCAGCCGCAGGTCAGTCCCTCAGCCGCAGGTCAGTCCCTCAGCCGCAGGTCAGTCCCTCAGCCGCAGGTCAGTCCCTCAGCCGCAGGTCAGTCCCTCAGCCGCAGGTCAGTCCCTCAGCCGCAGGTCAGTCCCTCAGCCGCAGGTCAGTCCCTCAGCCGCAGGTCAGTCCCTCAGCCGCAGGTCAGTCCCTCAGCCGCAGGTCAGTCCCTCAGCCGCAGGTCAGTCCCTCAGCCGCAGGTCAGTCCCTCAGCCGCAGGTCAGTCCCTCAGCCGCAGGTCAGTCCCTCAGCCGCAGGTCAGTCCCTCAGCCGCAGGTCAGTCCCTCAGCCGCAGGTCAGTCCCTCAGCCGCAGGTCAGTCCCTCAGCCGCAGGTCAGTCCCTCAGCCGCAGGTCAGTCCCTCAGCCGCAGGTCAGTCCCTCAGCCGCAGGTCAGTCCCTCAGCCGCAGGTCAGTCCCTCAGCCGCAGGTCAGTCCCTCAGCCGCAGGTCAGTCCCTCAGCCGCAGGTCAGTCCCTCAGCCGCAGGTCAGTCCCTCAGCCGCAGGTCAGTCCCTCAGCCGCAGGTCAGTCCCTCAGCCGCAGGTCAGTCCCTCAGCCGCAGGTCAGTCCCTCAGCCGCAGGTCAGTCCCTCAGCCGCAGGTCAGTCCCTCAGCCGCAGGTCAGTCCCTCAGCCGCAGGTCAGTCCCTCAGCCGCAGGTCAGTCCCTCAGCCGCAGGTCAGTCCCTCAGCCGCAGGTCAGTCCCTCAGCCGCAGGTCAGTCCCTCAGCCGCAGGTCAGTCCCTCAGCCGCAGGTCAGTCCCTCAGCCGCAGGTCAGTCCCTCAGCCGCAGGTCAGTCCCTCAGCCGCAGGTCAGTCCCTCAGCCGCAGGTCAGTCCCTCAGCCGCAGGTCAGTCCCTCAGCCGCAGGTCAGTCCCTCAGCCGCAGGTCAGTCCCTCAGCCGCAGGTCAGTCCCTCAGCCGCAGGTCAGTCCCTCAGCCGCAGGTCAGTCCCTCAGCCGCAGGTCAGTCCCTCAGCCGCAGGTCAGTCCCTCAGCCGCAGGTCAGTCCCTCAGCCGCAGGTCAGTCCCTCAGCCGCAGGTCAGTCCCTCAGCCGCAGGTCAGTCCCTCAGCCGCAGGTCAGTCCCTCAGCCGCAGGTCAGTCCCTCAGCCGCAGGTCAGTCCCTCAGCCGCAGGTCAGTCCCTCAGCCGCAGGTCAGTCCCTCAGCCGCAGGTCAGTCCCTCAGCCGCAGGTCAGTCCCTCAGCCGCAGGTCAGTCCCTCAGCCGCAGGTCAGTCCCTCAGCCGCAGGTCAGTCCCTCAGCCGCAGGTCAGTCCCTCAGCCGCAGGTCAGTCCCTCAGCCGCAGGTCAGTCCCTCAGCCGCAGGTCAGTCCCTCAGCCGCAGGTCAGTCCCTCAGCCGCAGGTCAGTCCCTCAGCCGCAGGTCAGTCCCTCAGCCGCAGGTCAGTCCCTCAGCCGCAGGTCAGTCCCTCAGCCGCAGGTCAGTCCCTCAGCCGCAGGTCAGTCCCTCAGCCGCAGGTCAGTCCCTCAGCCGCAGGTCAGTCCCTCAGCCGCAGGTCAGTCCCTCAGCCGCAGGTCAGTCCCTCAGCCGCAGGTCAGTCCCTCAGCCGCAGGTCAGTCCCTCAGCCGCAGGTCAGTCCCTCAGCCGCAGGTCAGTCCCTCAGCCGCAGGTCAGTCCCTCAGCCGCAGGTCAGTCCCTCAGCCGCAGGTCAGTCCCTCAGCCGCAGGTCAGTCCCTCAGCCGCAGGTCAGTCCCTCAGCCGCAGGTCAGTCCCTCAGCCGCAGGTCAGTCCCTCAGCCGCAGGTCAGTCCCTCAGCCGCAGGTCAGTCCCTCAGCCGCAGGTCAGTCCCTCAGCCGCAGGTCAGTCCCTCAGCCGCAGGTCAGTCCCTCAGCCGCAGGTCAGTCCCTCAGCCGCAGGTCAGTCCCTCAGCCGCAGGTCAGTCCCTCAGCCGCAGGTCAGTCCCTCAGCCGCAGGTCAGTCCCTCAGCCGCAGGTCAGTCCCTCAGCCGCAGGTCAGTCCCTCAGCCGCAGGTCAGTCCCTCAGCCGCAGGTCAGTCCCTCAGCCGCAGGTCAGTCCCTCAGCCGCAGGTCAGTCCCTCAGCCGCAGGTCAGTCCCTCAGCCGCAGGTCAGTCCCTCAGCCGCAGGTCAGTCCCTCAGCCGCAGGTCAGTCCCTCAGCCGCAGGTCAGTCCCTCAGCCGCAGGTCAGTCCCTCAGCCGCAGGTCAGTCCCTCAGCCGCAGGTCAGTCCCTCAGCCGCAGGTCAGTCCCTCAGCCGCAGGTCAGTCCCTCAGCCGCAGGTCAGTCCCTCAGCCGCAGGTCAGTCCCTCAGCCGCAGGTCAGTCCCTCAGCCGCAGGTCAGTCCCTCAGCCGCAGGTCAGTCCCTCAGCCGCAGGTCAGTCCCTCAGCCGCAGGTCAGTCCCTCAGCCGCAGGTCAGTCCCTCAGCCGCAGGTCAGTCCCTCAGCCGCAGGTCAGTCCCTCAGCCGCAGGTCAGTCCCTCAGCCGCAGGTCAGTCCCTCAGCCGCAGGTCAGTCCCTCAGCCGCAGGTCAGTCCCTCAGCCGCAGGTCAGTCCCCTCAGCCGCAGGTCAGTCCCTCAGCCGCAGGTCAGTCCCTCAGCCGCAGGTAGTCCCTCAGCCGCAGGTCAGTCCCTCAGCCGCAGGTCAGTCCCTCAGCCGCAGGTCAGTCCCTCAGCCGCAGGTCAGTCCCTCAGCCGCAGGTCAGTCCCTCAGCCGCAGGTCAGTCCCTCAGCCGCAGGTTCAGTCCCTCAGCCGCAGGTCAGTCCCTCAGCCGCAGGTCAGTCCTCAGCCGCAGGTCAGTCCCTCAGCCGCAGGTCAGTCCCTCAGCCGCAGGTCAGTCCGCTCAGCCGCAGGTTCAGTCCCTCAGCCGCAGGTCAGTCCCTCAGCCGCAGGTCAGTCCCTCAGCCGCAGGTCAGTCCCTCAGCCGCAGGTCAGTCCCTCAGCCGCAGGTCAGTCCCTCAGCCGCAGGTCAGTCCCTCAGCCGCAGGTCAGTCCCTCAGCCGCAGGTCAGTCCTCAGCCGCAGGTCAGTCCCTCAGCCGCAGGTCAGTCCCTCAGCCGCAGGTCAGTCCCTCAGCCGCAGGTCAGTCCCTCAGCCGCAGGTCAGTCCCTCAGCCGCAGGTCAGTCCCTCAGCCGCAGGTCAGTCCCTCAGCCGCAGGTCAGTCCCTCAGCCGCAGGTCAGTCCCTCAGCCGCAGGTCAGTCCCTCAGCCGCAGGTCAGTCCCTCAGCCGCAGGTCAGTCCCTCAGCCGCAGGTCAGTCCCTCAGCCGCAGGTCAGTCCCTCAGCCGCAGGTCAGTCCCTCAGCCGCAGGTCAGTCCCTCAGCCGCAGGTCAGTCCCTCAGCCGCAGGTCAGTCCCTCAGCCGCAGGTCAGTCCCTCAGCCGCAGGTCAGTCCCTCAGCCGCAGGTCAGTCCCTCAGCCGCAGGTCAGTCCCTCAGCCGCAGGTCAGTCCCTCAGCCGCAGGTCAGTCCCTCAGCCGCAGGTCAGTCCCTCAGCCGCAGGTCAGTCCCTCAGCCGCAGGTCAGTCCCTCAGCCGCAGGTCAGTCCCTCAGCCGCAGGTCAGTCCCTCAGCCGCAGGTCAGTCCCTCAGCCGCAGGTCAGTCCCTCAGCCGCAGGTCAGTCCCTCAGCCGCAGGTCAGTCCCTCAGCCGCAGGTCAGTCCCTCAGCCGCAGGTCAGTCCCTCAGCCGCAGGTCAGTCCCTCAGCCGCAGGTCAGTCCCTCAGCCGCAGGTCAGTCCCTCAGCCGCAGGTCAGTCCCTCAGCCGCAGGTCAGTCCCTCAGCCGCAGGTCAGTCCCTCAGCCGCAGGTCAGTCCCTCAGCCGCAGGTCAGTCCCTCAGCCGCAGGTCAGTCCCTCAGCCGCAGGTCAGTCCCTCAGCCGCAGGTCAGTCCCTCAGCCGCAGGTCAGTCCCTCAGCCGCAGGTCAGTCCCTCAGCCGCAGGTCAGTCCCTCAGCCGCAGGTCAGTCCCTCAGCCGCAGGTCAGTCCCTCAGCCGCAGGTCAGTCCCTCAGCCGCAGGTCAGTCCCTCAGCCGCAGGTCAGTCCCTCCAGGCCGCAGGTCAGTCCCTCAGCCTCAGTCAGTCCCTCAGCCGCAGGTCAGTCCCTCAGCGCAGGTCAGTCCCTCAGCCGCAGGTCAGTCCCTCAGCCGCAGGTCAGTCCCTCAGCCGCAGGTCAGTCCCTCAGCCGCAGGTCAGTCCCTCAGCCGCAGGTCAGTCCCTCAGCCGCAGGTCAGCCCTCAGCCGCAGGTCAGTCCCTCAGCCGCAGGTCAGTCCCTCAGCCGCAGGTCAGTCCCTCAGCCGCCAGGTCAGTCCCTCAGCCGCAGGTCAGTCCCTCAGCCGCAGGTCAGTCCCTCAGCCGCAGTCAGTCCCCTCAGCCGCAGGAGTCAGTCCCTCAGCCGCAGGTCAGTCCCTCAGCCGCAGGTCAGTCCCTCAGCCGCAGGTCAGTCCCTCAGCCGCAGGTCCGTCCCTCAGCCGCAGGTCAGTCCCTCAGCCGCAGGTCAGTCCCTCAGCCGCAGGTCAGTCCCTCAGCCGCAGGCAGTCCCTCAGCCGCAGGTCAGTCCCTCAGCCGCAGGTCAGGTCCCTCAGCCGCAGGTCAGTCCCTCAGCCGCAGGTCAGTCCCTCAGCCGCAGGTCAGTCCCTCAGCCGCAGGTCAGTCCCTCAGCCGCAGGTCAGTCCCTCAGCCGCAGGTCAGTCCCCTCAGCCGCAGGTCAGTCCCTCAGCCGCAGGTCAGTCCCTCAGCCGCAGGTCAGTCCCTCAGCCGCAGGTCAGTCCCTCAGCCGCAGGTAGTCCTCAGCCTCCCGCCGCAGGCAGGTCAGTCCCTCAGCCGCAGGTCAGTCCCTCAGCCGCAGGTCAGTCCCTCAGCCGCAGGTCAGTCCCTCAGCCGCAGGTCAGTCCCTCAGCCGCAGGTCAGTCCCTCAGCCGGCAGGTCAGTCCCTCAGCCGCAGGTCAGTCCTCAGCCGCAGGTCAGTCCCTCAGCCGCAGGTCAGTCCCTCAGCCGCAGGTCAGTCCCTCAGTCCGGTCAGGTCTAGTCCCTCAGCCGCAGGTCAGTCCCTCAGCCGCAGGTCAGTCCCTCAGCCGCAGGTCAGTCCCTCAGCCGCAGGTCAGTCCCTCAGCCGCAGGGTCAGTCCCTCAGCCGCAGGTCAGTTCCCTCAGCCGCAGGTCAGTCCCTCAGCCGCAGGTCAGTCCCTCAGCCCGCAGCACCGCGTCAGTCCCTCAGCGCAGGCTAGTCCCTCAGCCGCAGGTCAGTCCTCAGCAAGGTCAGTCCCTCAGCCGCAGGTCAGTCCCTCAGCCGCAGGTCAGTCCCTCAGCCGCAGGTCAGTCCCTCAGCCGCAGGTCAGTCCCTCAGCCGCAGGTCAGTCCCTCAGCCGCAGGTCAGTCCCTCAGCCGCAGGTCAGTCCCTCAGCCGCAGGTCAGTCCCTCAGCCGCAGGTCAGTCCCTCAGCCGCAGGTCAGTCCCTCAGCCGCAGGTCAGTCCCTCAGCCGCAGGTCAGTCCCTCAGCCGCAGGTCAGTCCCTCAGCCGCAGGTCAGTCCCTCAGCCGCAGGTCAGTCCCTCAGCCGCAGGTCAGTCCCTCAGCCGCAGGTCAGTCCCTCAGCCGCAGGTCAGTCCCTCAGCCGCAGGTCAGTCCCTCAGCCGCAGGTCAGTCCCTCAGCCGCAGGTCAGTCCCTCAGCCGCAGGTCAGTCCCTCAGCCGCAGGTCAGTCCCTCAGCCGCAGGTCAGTCCCTCAGCCGCAGGTCAGTCCCTCAGCCGCAGGTCAGTCCCTCAGCCGCAGGTCAGGTCCCCCGCCGTCAGTCAGCCCTCAGCCGCAGGTCAGTCCCCTCAGCCGCAGGTCAGTCCCTAGCCGCAGTAGTCAGTCCCTCAGCCGCAGGTCAGTCCCTCAGCCGCCAGGTCAGTCCCTCTAGCCGCCAGGTCAGTCCCTCAGCCGCAGGTCAGTCCCTCAGCCGCAGGTCAGTTCCCTCAGCCGCAGGTCAGTCCCTCAGCCGCAGGTTCAGTCCCTCAGCACGCAGGTCAGTCCTCAGCCGAGGTCAGTCCCCTCAGCCGCAGGTCAGTCCCTCAGCCGCAGGTCAGTCCCTCAGCCGCAGGTCAGTCCCTCAGCCGCAGGTCAGTCCCTCAGCCGCAGGTTCAGTCCCTCAGCCGCAGGTCAGTCCCCTCAGCCGCAGGTCAGTCCCTCAGCGCAGGTCAGTCCCTCAGCCGCAGGTCAGTCCCTCAGCCGCAGGTCAGTCCCTCAGCCGCAGGTCAGTCCCTCAGCCGCAGGTCAGTCCCTCAGCCGCAGGTCAGTCCCTCAGCCGCAAGACGGCCGCACACCCGCTGGACCGCTGTGCCGCGGGTTGTCAGTCCCTCAGCCGCAGGTCAGTCCCTCAGCCGCAGGTCAGTCCCTCAGCCGCAGGTCAGTTCCCTCAGCCGCAGGTCAGTCCCTCAGCCGCAGGTCAGTCCCTCAGCCGCAGGTCAGTCCCTCAGCCGCAGGGTCAGTCCCTCAGCCGCAGGTCAGTCCTCAGCCGCAGGTCAGTCCCTCAGCCGCAGGTCAGTCCCTCAGCCGCAGGTCAGTCCCTCAGCCGCAGGTCAGTCCCTCAGCCGCAGGTTTCCAGGTCCCTCAGTCCGCAGGTCAGTCCCCTCAGCCGCAGGGTCAGTCCCTCAGCCGCAGGTCAGTCCCTCAGCCGCAGGTCAGTCCCTCAGCCGCAGGTCAGTCCCTCAGCGCAGGTTCAGGTCCCTCAGCCGCAGGTCAGTCCCTCAGCCGCAGGTCAGTCCCTCAAGCCGCAGGTCAGGTCCCTCAGCCGCAGGTCAGTCCCTCAGCCGCAGGTCAGTCCCCTCAGGCCGCAGTCAGTCCCTCACGCCGCAGGTCAGTCCCTCAGCCGCAGGTCAGTCCCTCAGGCCGCAGGTCAGTCCCTCAGCCGCAGGTCAGTCCCTCAGCCGCAGGTCAGTCCCTCAGCCGCAGGTCAGTCCCTCAGCCGCAGGTCAGTCCCTCAGCCGCAGGTCAGTCCCTCAGCCGCAGGTCAGTCCCTCAGCCGCAGGTCAGTCCCTCAGCCGCAGGTCAGTCCCTCAGCCGCAGGTCAGTCCCTCAGCCGCAGGTCAGTCCCTCAGCCGCAGGTCAGTCCCTCAGCCGCAGGTCAGTCCCTCAGCCGCAGGTCAGTCCCTCAGCCGCAGGTCAGTCCCTCAGCCGCAGGTCAGTCCCTCAGCCGCAGGTCAGTCCCTCAGCCGCAGGTCAGTCCCTCAGCCGCAGGTCAGTCCCTCAGCCGCAGGTCAGTCCCTCAGCCGCAGGTCAGTCCCTCAGCCGCAGGTCAGTCCCTCAGCCGCAGGTCAGTCCCTCAGCCGCAGGTCAGTCCCTCAGCCGCAGGTCAGTCCCTCAGCCGCAGGTCAGTCCCTCAGCCGCAGGTCAGTCCCTCAGCCGCAGGTCAGTCCCTCAGCCGCAGGTCAGTCCCTCAGCCGCAGGTCAGTCAGTCCCTCAGCCGCAGGTCAGTCCCTCAGCCGCAGGTCAGTCCCTCAGCCGCAGGTCAGTCCCTCAGCCGCAGGCGTCAGTCCCTCAGTCCGCAGGTCAGTCCCCTCAGCCGCAGGTCAGTCCCTCAGCCGCAGGTTCCAGTTCCCTCAGCCGCAGGTCAGTCCCTCAAGCCGCAGGTCAGTCCCTCAGCCGCAGGTCAGTCCCTCAGCCGCAGGTCAGTCCCCTCAGCCGCAGGTCAGTCCCTCAGCCGCAGGTCCAGTCCCTCAGCCGCAGGTCGTCCCTCAGCCGCAGGTCAGTCCCTCAGCCGCAGGTTCAGTCCCTCAGCCGCAGGTCAGTCCCTCAGCCGCAGGTCAGTCCCTCAGCGCAGGTCAGTCCCTCAGCCGCAGGTCAGTCCCTCAGGCCGCAGGTCAGTCCCTCAGCCGCAGGTCAGTTCCCTCAGCCGCAGGTCAGTCCCTCAGCCGCAGGTCAGTCCCTCGCCGCAGTCAGTCCCTCAGCCGCAGGTCAGTCCCTCAGCCGCAGGTCAGTCCCTCAGCCGCAGGTCAGTCCTCAGCCGCAGGTCAGTCCCTCAGCCGCAGGTCAGTCCCTCAGCGCAGGTCAGTCCCTCAGCCGCAGGTCAGTCCCTCAGCCGCAGGTCAGTCCCTCAGCCGCAGGTCTCCAGTCCCTCAGCCGCAGGTCAGTCCCCTCAGCCGCAGGTCAGTCCCTCAGCCGCAGGTCAGTCCCTCAGCCGCAGGTCAGTCCCTCAGCCGCAGGTCAGTCCCTCAGCCGCAGGTCAGTCCCTCAGCCGGCAGGGCAGGTCCCTCAGCCCGCAGGTCAGTCCCTCAGCCGCAGGTCAGTCCCTCCAGCCGCAGGTCAGTCCCTCAGCCGCAGGTCAGTCCTCAGCCGCAGGTCAGTCCCTCAGCCGGTCCTCAGGTCAGTCCCTCAGCCGAGGTCAGTCCCTCAGCCGCAGGTCAGTCCCTCAGCCGCAGGTCAGTCCCTCAGCCGCAGGTCAGTCCCTCAGCCGCAGGTCAGTCCCTCAGCCGCAGGTCAGTCCCTCAGCCGCAGGTCAGTCCCTCAGCCGCAGGTCAGTCCCTCAGCCGCAGGTCAGTCCCTCAGCCGCAGGTCAGTCCCTCAGCCGCAGGTCAGTCCCTCAGCCGCAGGTCAGTCCCTCAGCCGCAGGTCAGTCCCTCAGCCGCAGGTCAGTCCCTCAGCCGCAGGTCAGTCCCTCAGCCGCAGGTCAGTCCCTCAGCCGCAGGTCAGTCCCTCAGCCGCAGGTCAGTCCCTCAGCCGCAGGTCAGTCCCTCAGCCGCAGGTCAGTCCCTCAGCCGCAGGTCAGTCCCTCAGCCGCAGGTCAGTCCCTCAGCCGCAGGTCAGTCCCTCAGCCGCAGGTCAGTCCCTCAGCCGCAGGTCAGTCCCTCAGCCGCAGGTCAGTCCCTCAGCCGCAGGTCAGTCCCTCAGCCGCAGGTCAGTCCCTCAGCCGCAGGTCAGTCCCTCAGCCGCAGGTCAGTCCCTCAGCCGCAGGTCAGTCCCTCAGCCGCAGGTCAGTCCCTCAGCCGCAGGTCAGTCCCTCAGCCGCAGGTCAGTCCCTCAGCCGCAGGTCAGTCCCTCAGCCGCAGGTCAGTCCCTCAGCCGCAGGTCAGTCCCTCAGCCGCAGGTCAGTCCCTCAGCCGCAGGTCAGTCCCTCAGCCGCAGGTCAGTCCCTCAGCCGCAGGTCAGTCCCTCAGCCGCAGGTCAGTCCCTCAGCCGCAGGTCAGTCCCTCAGCCGCAGGTCAGTCCCTCAGCCGCAGGTCAGTCCCTCAGCCGCAGGTCAGTCCCTCAGCCGCAGGTCAGTCCCTCAGCCGCAGGTCAGTCCCTCAGCCGCAGGTCAGTCCCTCAGCCGCAGGTCAGTCCCTCAGCCGCAGGTCAGTCCCTCAGCCGCAGGTCAGTCCCTCAGCCGCAGGTCAGTCCCTCAGCCGCAGGTCAGTCCCTCAGCCGCAGGTCAGTCCCTCAGCCGCAGGTCAGTCCCTCAGCCGCAGGTCAGTCCCTCAGCCGCAGGTCAGTCCCTCAGCCGCAGGTCAGTCCCTCAGCCGCAGGTCAGTCCCTCAGCCGCAGGTCAGTCCCTCAGCCGCAGGTCAGTCCCTCAGCCGCAGGTCAGTCCCTCAGCCGCAGGTCAGTCCCTCAGCCGCAGGTCAGTCCCTCAGCCGCAGGTCAGTCCCTCAGCCGCAGGTCAGTCCCTCAGCCGCAGGTCAGTCCCTCAGCCGCAGGTCAGTCCCTCAGCCGCAGGTCAGTCCCTCAGCCGCAGGTCAGTCCCTCAGCCGCAGGTCAGTCCCTCAGCCGCAGGTCAGTCCCTCAGCCGCAGGTCAGTCCCTCAGCCGCAGGTCAGTCCCTCAGCCGCAGGTCAGTCCCTCAGCCGCAGGTCAGTCCCTCAGCCGCAGGTCAGTCCCTCAGCCGCAGGTCAGTCCCTCAGCCGCAGGTCAGTCCCTCAGCCGCAGGTCAGTCCCTCAGCCGCAGGTCAGTCCCTCAGCCGCAGGTCAGTCCCTCAGCCGCAGGTCAGTCCCTCAGCCGCAGGTCAGTCCCTCAGCCGCAGGTCAGTCCCTCAGCCGCAGGTCAGTCCCTCAGCCGCAGGTCAGTCCCTCAGCCGCAGGTCAGTCCCTCAGCCGCAGGTCAGTCCCTCAGCCGCAGGTCAGTCCCTCAGCCGCAGGTCAGTCCCTCAGCCGCAGGTCAGTCCCTCAGCCGCAGGTCAGTCCCTCAGCCGCAGGTCAGTCCCTCAGCCGCAGGTCAGTCCCTCAGCCGCAGGTCAGTCCCTCAGCCGCAGGTCAGTCCCTCAGCCGCAGGTCAGTCCCTCAGCCGCAGGTCAGTCCCTCAGCCGCAGGTCAGTCCCTCAGCCGCAGGTCAGTCCCTCAGCCGCAGGTCAGTCCCTCAGCCGCAGGTCAGTCCCTCAGCCGCAGGTCAGTCCCTCAGCCGCAGGTCAGTCCCTCAGCCGCAGGTCAGTCCCTCAGCCGCAGGTCAGTCCCTCAGCCGCAGGTCAGTCCCTCAGCCGCAGGTCAGTCCCTCAGCCGCAGGTCAGTCCCTCAGCCGCAGGTCAGTCCCTCAGCCGCAGGTCAGTCCCTCAGCCGCAGGTCAGTCCCTCAGCCGCAGGTCAGTCCCTCAGCCGCAGGTCAGTCCCTCAGCCGCAGGTCAGTCCCTCAGCCGCAGGTCAGTCCCTCAGCCGCAGGTCAGTCCCTCAGCCGCAGGTCAGTCCCTCAGCCGCAGGTCAGTCCCTCAGCCGCAGGTCAGTCCCTCAGCCGCAGGTCAGTCCCTCAGCCGCAGGTCAGTCCCTCAGCCGCAGGTCAGTCCCTCAGCCGCAGGTCAGTCCCTCAGCCGCAGGTCAGTCCCTCAGCCGCAGGTCAGTCCCTCAGCCGCAGGTCAGTCCCTCAGCCGCAGGTCAGTCCCTCAGCCGCAGGTCAGTCCCTCAGCCGCAGGTCAGTCCCTCAGCCGCAGGTCAGTCCCTCAGCCGCAGGTCAGTCCCTCAGCCGCAGGTCAGTCCCTCAGCCGCAGGTCAGTCCCTCAGCCGCAGGTCAGTCCCTCAGCCGCAGGTCAGTCCCTCAGCCGCAGGTCAGTCCCTCAGCCGCAGGTCAGTCCCTCAGCCGCAGGTCAGTCCCTCAGCCGCAGGTCAGTCCCTCAGCCGCAGGTCAGTCCCTCAGCCGCAGGTCAGTCCCTCAGCCGCAGGTCAGTCCCTCAGCCGCAGGTCAGTCCCTCAGCCGCAGGTCAGTCCCTCAGCCGCAGGTCAGTCCCTCAGCCGCAGGTCAGTCCCTCAGCCGCAGGTCAGTCCCTCAGCCGCAGGTCAGTCCCTCAGCCGCAGGTCAGTCCCTCAGCCGCAGGTCAGTCCCTCAGCCGCAGGTCAGTCCCTCAGCCGCAGGTCAGTCCCTCAGCCGCAGGTCAGTCCCTCAGCCGCAGGTCAGTCCCTCAGCCGCAGGTCAGTCCCTCAGCCGCAGGTCAGTCCCTCAGCCGCAGGTCAGTCCCTCAGCCGCAGGTCAGTCCCTCAGCCGCAGGTCAGTCCCTCAGCCGCAGGTCAGTCCCTCAGCCGCAGGTCAGTCCCTCAGCCGCAGGTCAGTCCCTCAGCCGCAGGTCAGTCCCTCAGCCGCAGGTCAGTCCCTCAGCCGCAGGTCAGTCCCTCAGCCGCAGGTCAGTCCCTCAGCCGCAGGTCAGTCCCTCAGCCGCAGGTCAGTCCCTCAGCCGCAGGTCAGTCCCTCAGCCGCAGGTCAGTCCCTCAGCCGCAGGTCAGTCCCTCAGCCGCAGGTCAGTCCCTCAGCCGCAGGTCAGTCCCTCAGCCGCAGGTCAGTCCCTCAGCCGCAGGTCAGTCCCTCAGCCGCAGGTCAGTCCCTCAGCCGCAGGTCAGTCCCTCAGCCGCAGGTCAGTCCCTCAGCCGCAGGTCAGTCCCTCAGCCGCAGGTCAGTCCCTCAGCCGCAGGTCAGTCCCTCAGCCGCAGGTCAGTCCCTCAGCCGCAGGTCAGTCCCTCAGCCGCAGGTCAGTCCCTCAGCCGCAGGTCAGTCCCTCAGCCGCAGGTCAGTCCCTCAGCCGCAGGTCAGTCCCTCAGCCGCAGGTCAGTCCCTCAGCCGCAGGTCAGTCCCTCAGCCGCAGGTCAGTCCCTCAGCCGCAGGTCAGTCCCTCAGCCGCAGGTCAGTCCCTCAGCCGCAGGTCAGTCCCTCAGCCGCAGGTCAGTCCCTCAGCCGCAGGTCAGTCCCTCAGCCGCAGGTCAGTCCCTCAGCCGCAGGTCAGTCCCTCAGCCGCAGGTCAGTCCCTCAGCCGCAGGTCAGTCCCTCAGCCGCAGGTCAGTCCCTCAGCCGCAGGTCAGTCCCTCAGCCGCAGGTCAGTCCCTCAGCCGCAGGTCAGTCCCTCAGCCGCAGGTCAGTCCCTCAGCCGCAGGTCAGTCCCTCAGCCGCAGGTCAGTCCCTCAGCCGCAGGTCAGTCCCTCAGCCGCAGGTCAGTCCCTCAGCCGCAGGTCAGTCAGTCCCTCAGCCGCAGGTCAGTCCCTCAGCCGCAGGTCAGTCCCTCAGCCGCAGGTCAGTCCCTCAGCCGCAGGTCAGTCCCTCAGCCGCAGGTCAGTCCCTCAGCCGCAGGTCAGTCCCTCAGCCGCAGGTCAGTCCCTCAGCCGCAGGTCAGTCCCTCAGCCGCAGGTCAGTCCCTCAGCCGCAGGTCAGTCCCTCAGCCGCAGGTCAGTCCCTCAGCCGCAGGTCAGTCCCTCAGCCGCAGGTCAGTCCCTCAGCCGCAGGTCAGTCAGTCCCTCAGCCGCAGGTCAGTCAGTCCCTCAGCCGCAGGTCAGTCCCTCAGCCGCAGGTCAGTCCCTCAGCCGCAGGTCAGTCCCTCAGCCGCAGGTCAGTCCCTCAGCCGCAGGTCAGTCCCTCAGCCGCAGGTCAGTCAGTCCCTCAGCCGCAGGTCAGTCCCTCAGCCGCAGGTCAGTCCCTCAGCCGCAGGTCAGTCCCTCAGCCGCAGGTCAGTCAGTCCCTCAGCCGCAGGTCAGTCCCTCAGCCGCAGGTCAGTCCCTCAGCCGCAGGTCAGTCCCTCAGCCGCAGGTCAGTCCCTCAGCCGCAGGTCAGTCCCTCAGCCGCAGGTCAGTCCCTCAGCCGCAGGTCAGTCAGTCCCTCAGCCGCAGGTCAGTCAGTCCCTCAGCCGCAGGTCAGTCCCTCAGCCGCAGGTCAGTCCCTCAGCCGCAGGTCAGTCAGTCCCTCAGCCGCAGGTCAGTCCCTCAGCCGCAGGTCAGTCCCTCAGCCGCAGGTCAGTCCCTCAGCCGCAGGTCAGTCCCTCAGCCGCAGGTCAGTCAGTCCCTCAGCCGCAGGTCAGTCCCTCAGCCGCAGGTCAGTCCCTCAGCCGCAGGTCAGTCCCTCAGCCGCAGGTCAGTCAGTCCCTCAGCCGCAGGTCAGTCAGTCCCTCAGCCGCAGGTCAGTCCCTCAGCCGCAGGTCAGTCCCTCAGCCGCAGGTCAGTCAGTCCCTCAGCCGCAGGTCAGTCCCTCAGCCGCAGGTCAGTCCCTCAGCCGCAGGTCAGTCCCTCAGCCGCAGGTCAGTCCCTCAGCCGCAGGTCAGTCCCTCAGCCGCAGGTCAGTCCCTCAGCCGCAGGTCAGTCCCTCAGCCGCAGGTCAGTCCCTCAGCCGCAGGTCAGTCCCTCAGCCGCAGGTCAGTCCCTCAGCCGCAGGTCAGTCCCTCAGCCGCAGGTCAGTCCCTCAGCCGCAGGTCAGTCCCTCAGCCGCAGGTCAGTCCCTCAGCCGCAGGTCAGTCCCTCAGCCGCAGGTCAGTCCCTCAGCCGCAGGTCAGTCCCTCAGCCGCAGGTCAGTCCCTCAGCCGCAGGTCAGTCCCTCAGCCGCAGGTCAGTCCCTCAGCCGCAGGTCAGTCCCTCAGCCGCAGGTCAGTCCCTCAGCCGCAGGTCAGTCCCTCAGCCGCAGGTCAGTCCCTCAGCCGCAGGTCAGTCCCTCAGCCGCAGGTCAGTCCCTCAGCCGCAGGTCAGTCCCTCAGCCGCAGGTCAGTCCCTCAGCCGCAGGTCAGTCCCTCAGCCGCAGGTCAGTCCCTCAGCCGCAGGTCAGTCAGTCCCTCAGCCGCAGGTCAGTCCCTCAGCCGCAGGTCAGTCAGTCCCTCAGCCGCAGGTCAGTCCCTCAGCCGCAGGTCAGTCCCTCAGCCGCAGGTCAGTCCCTCAGCCGCAGGTCAGTCCCTCAGCCGCAGGTCAGTCCCTCAGCCGCAGGTCAGTCCCTCAGCCGCAGGTCAGTCCCTCAGCCGCAGGTCAGTCCCTCAGCCGCAGGTCAGTCCCTCAGCCGCAGGTCAGTCCCTCAGCCGCAGGTCAGTCAGTCCCTCAGCCGCAGGTCAGTCCCTCAGCCGCAGGTCAGTCCCTCAGCCGCAGGTCAGTCCCTCAGCCGCAGGTCAGTCCCTCAGCCGCAGGTCAGTCCCTCAGCCGCAGGTCAGTCAGTCCCTCAGCCGCAGGTCAGTCCCTCAGCCGCAGGTCAGTCCCTCAGCCGCAGGTCAGTCCCTCAGCCGCAGGTCAGTCCCTCAGCCGCAGGTCAGTCCCTCAGCCGCAGGTCAGTCCCTCAGCCGCAGGTCAGTCCCTCAGCCGCAGGTCAGTCCCTCAGCCGCAGGTCAGTCCCTCAGCCGCAGGTCAGTCCCTCAGCCGCAGGTCAGTCCCTCAGCCGCAGGTCAGTCCCTCAGCCGCAGGTCAGTCCCTCAGCCGCAGGTCAGTCCCTCAGCCGCAGGTCAGTCCCTCAGCCGCAGGTCAGTCCCTCAGCCGCAGGTCAGTCCCTCAGCCGCAGGTCAGTCCCTCAGCCGCAGGTCAGTCCCTCAGCCGCAGGTCAGTCCCTCAGCCGCAGGTCAGTCCCTCAGCCGCAGGTCAGTCCCTCAGCCGCAGGTCAGTCCCTCAGCCGCAGGTCAGTCCCTCAGCCGCAGGTCAGTCCCTCAGCCGCAGGTCAGTCCCTCAGCCGCAGGTCAGTCCCTCAGCCGCAGGTCAGTCCCTCAGCCGCAGGTCAGTCCCTCAGCCGCAGGTCAGTCCCTCAGCCGCAGGTCAGTCCCTCAGCCGCAGGTCAGTCCCTCAGCCGCAGGTCAGTCCCTCAGCCGCAGGTCAGTCCCTCAGCCGCAGGTCAGTCCCTCAGCCGCAGGTCAGTCCCTCAGCCGCAGGTCAGTCCCTCAGCCGCAGGTCAGTCCCTCAGCCGCAGGTCAGTCCCTCAGCCGCAGGTCAGTCCCTCAGCCGCAGGTCAGTCCCTCAGCCGCAGGTCAGTCCCTCAGCCGCAGGTCAGTCCCTCAGCCGCAGGTCAGTCAGTCCCTCAGCCGCAGGTCAGTCAGTCCCTCAGCCGCAGGTCAGTCCCTCAGCCGCAGGTCAGTCCCTCAGCCGCAGGTCAGTCCCTCAGCCGCAGGTCAGTCCCTCAGCCGCAGGTCAGTCCCTCAGCCGCAGGTCAGTCCCTCAGCCGCAGGTCAGTCAGTCCCTCAGCCGCAGGTCAGTCCCTCAGCCGCAGGTCAGTCCCTCAGCCGCAGGTCAGTCCCTCAGCCGCAGGTCAGTCCCTCAGCCGCAGGTCAGTCAGTCCCTCAGCCGCAGGTCAGTCCCTCAGCCGCAGGTCAGTCCCTCAGCCGCAGGTCAGTCCCTCAGCCGCAGGTCAGTCAGTCCCTCAGCCGCAGGTCAGTCAGTCCCTCAGCCGCAGGTCAGTCCCTCAGCCGCAGGTCAGTCCCTCAGCCGCAGGTCAGTCAGTCCCTCAGCCGCAGGTCAGTCCCTCAGCCGCAGGTCAGTCCCTCAGCCGCAGGTCAGTCCCTCAGCCGCAGGTCAGTCCCTCAGCCGCAGGTCAGTCAGTCCCTCAGCCGCAGGTCAGTCCCTCAGCCGCAGGTCAGTCCCTCAGCCGCAGGTCAGTCCCTCAGCCGCAGGTCAGTCAGTCCCTCAGCCGCAGGTCAGTCCCTCAGCCGCAGGTCAGTCCCTCAGCCGCAGGTCAGTCAGTCCCTCAGCCGCAGGTCAGTCCCTCAGCCGCAGGTCAGTCCCTCAGCCGCAGGTCAGTCCCTCAGCCGCAGGTCAGTCCCTCAGCCGCAGGTCAGTCCCTCAGCCGCAGGTCAGTCCCTCAGCCGCAGGTCAGTCCCTCAGCCGCAGGTCAGTCCCTCAGCCGCAGGTCAGTCCCTCAGCCGCAGGTCAGTCCCTCAGCCGCAGGTCAGTCCCTCAGCCGCAGGTCAGTCCCTCAGCCGCAGGTCAGTCCCTCAGCCGCAGGTCAGTCCCTCAGCCGCAGGTCAGTCAGTCCCTCAGCCGCAGGTCAGTCCCTCAGCCGCAGGTCAGTCCCTCAGCCGCAGGTCAGTCCCTCAGCCGCAGGTCAGTCCCTCAGCCGCAGGTCAGTCCCTCAGCCGCAGGTCAGTCCCTCAGCCGCAGGTCAGTCAGTCCCTCAGCCGCAGGTCAGTCCCTCAGCCGCAGGTCAGTCCCTCAGCCGCAGGTCAGTCCCTCAGCCGCAGGTCAGTCCCTCAGCCGCAGGTCAGTCCCTCAGCCGCAGGTCAGTCAGTCCCTCAGCCGCAGGTCAGTCCCTCAGCCGCAGGTCAGTCCCTCAGCCGCAGGTCAGTCCCTCAGCCGCAGGTCAGTCAGTCCCTCAGCCGCAGGTCAGTCCCTCAGCCGCAGGTCAGTCCCTCAGCCGCAGGTCAGTCAGTCCCTCAGCCGCAGGTCAGTCCCTCAGCCGCAGGTCAGTCCCTCAGCCGCAGGTCAGTCCCTCAGCCGCAGGTCAGTCCCTCAGCCGCAGGTCAGTCAGTCCCTCAGCCGCAGGTCAGTCCCTCAGCCGCAGGTCAGTCCCTCAGCCGCAGGTCAGTCCCTCAGCCGCAGGTCAGTCAGTCCCTCAGCCGCAGGTCAGTCAGTCCCTCAGCCGCAGGTCAGTCCCTCAGCCGCAGGTCAGTCCCTCAGCCGCAGGTCAGTCAGTCCCTCAGCCGCAGGTCAGTCCCTCAGCCGCAGGTCAGTCCCTCAGCCGCAGGTCAGTCCCTCAGCCGCAGGTCAGTCCCTCAGCCGCAGGTCAGTCCCTCAGCCGCAGGTCAGTCCCTCAGCCGCAGGTCAGTCCCTCAGCCGCAGGTCAGTCCCTCAGCCGCAGGTCAGTCCCTCAGCCGCAGGTCAGTCCCTCAGCCGCAGGTCAGTCCCTCAGCCGCAGGTCAGTCCCTCAGCCGCAGGTCAGTCCCTCAGCCGCAGGTCAGTCCCTCAGCCGCAGGTCAGTCCCTCAGCCGCAGGTCAGTCCCTCAGCCGCAGGTCAGTCAGTCCCTCAGCCGCAGGTCAGTCAGTCCCTCAGCCGCAGGTCAGTCAGTCCCTCAGCCGCAGGTCAGTCAGTCCCTCAGCCGCAGGTCAGTCCCTCAGCCGCAGGTCAGTCCCTCAGCCGCAGGTCAGTCCCTCAGCCGCAGGTCAGTCCCTCAGCCGCAGGTCAGTCAGTCCCTCAGCCGCAGGTCAGTCCCTCAGCCGCAGGTCAGTCCCTCAGCCGCAGGTCAGTCCCTCAGCCGCAGGTCAGTCCCTCAGCCGCAGGTCAGTCCCTCAGCCGCAGGTCAGTCCCTCAGCCGCAGGTCAGTCCCTCAGCCGCAGGTCAGTCCCTCAGCCGCAGGTCAGTCCCTCAGCCGCAGGTCAGTCCCTCAGCCGCAGGTCAGTCCCTCAGCCGCAGGTCAGTCCCTCAGCCGCAGGTCAGTCCCTCAGCCGCAGGTCAGTCCCTCAGCCGCAGGTCAGTCCCTCAGCCGCAGGTCAGTCCCTCAGCCGCAGGTCAGTCCCTCAGCCGCAGGTCAGTCCCTCAGCCGCAGGTCAGTCCCTCAGCCGCAGGTCAGTCCCTCAGCCGCAGGTCAGTCCCTCAGCCGCAGGTCAGTCAGTCCCTCAGCCACAGGTCAGTCCCTCAGCCGCAGGTCAGTCCCTCAGCCGCAGGTCAGTCCCTCAGCCGCAGGTCAGTCCGTCCCTCAGCCGCAGGTCAGTCCGTCCCTCAGCCGCAGGTCAGTCAGTCCCTCAGCCGCAGGTCAGTCAGTCCCTCAGCCGCAGGTCAGTCAGTCCCTCAGCCGCAGGTCAGTCAGTCCCTCAGCCGCAGGTCAGTCAGTCCCTCAGCCGCAGGTCAGTCAGTCCCTCAGCCGCAGGTCAGTCAGTCCCTCAGCCGCAGGTCAGTCAGTCCCTCAGCCGCAGGTCAGTCCCTCAGCCGCCGGTCAGTCCCTCAGCTGCAGGTCAGTCCCTCAGCCGCAGGTCAGTCCCTCAGCCGCAGGTCAGTCCCTCAGCCGCAGGTCAGTCCCTCAGCCGCAGGTCAGTCCCTCAGCCGCAGGTCAGTCCCTCAGCCGCAGGTCAGTCCCTCAGCCGCAGGTCAGTCCCTTAGCCGCAGGTCAGTCCCTCAGCCGCAGGTCAGTCAGTCCCTCAGCCGCAGGTCAGTCAGTCCCTCAGCCGCAGGTCAGTCAGTCTCTCAGCCGCAGGTCAGTCAGTCCCTCAGCCGCAGGTCAGTCAGTCCCTCAGCCGCAGGTCAGTCAGTCCCTCAGCCGCAGGTCAGTCCCTCAGCCGCAGGTCAGTCCCTCAGCCGCCGGTCAGTCCCTCAGCTGCAGGTCAGTCCCTCAGCCGCTGGTCAGTCCCTCAGCCGCAGGTCAGTCCCTCAGCCGCCGGTCAGTCCCTCAGCCGCTGGTCAGTCCCTCAGCCGCCGGTCAGTCCCTCAGCCGCCGGTCAGTCCCTCCAGCCGCCCCGGTAACCCGTGCGCGGACCACCACACGCGCACTGAGTGCAGCAGGCCGCGAGTCAGCCACCCAGCTATGCTCACTTCACTCCATTCACCATGCGTTCCCCGTGCTGTTCGTTCCCCTTGTGCTGCGTTCTGACTCGCCTCTTAACCTGCCTCATCCCTCTAGCAACCCTGCCGCCACCCTCATCGCTCTGATTTGCCTTCTCACCACCACTCACCCCCTGTCTGCATCTCTTGTGCGCGTGCGCCTGTGTGTGGTTGGGTGGGGGTGAGGGGGGGGGCTATGGGTGGCACAATGGCAGGTCGTTTGAGCACCGGCTGCACCTGAGGGACTTGGAGCAGTGGATGTCGCAGCGAGACATTCCCCCGCGAGCTGCAGAGGTGCGTCTCTCTCTGCATGCGCGCCCACCCACCCCTCGTGTGAGGGGGTGCGGTCATGGGGCAGTGGCGTTTGTTGGATGCCGCACAGCGAGGGTGCATGATGCAGTGTTCTTGTCTTGTCTTTCCAGGCTGTGCCTGCGCCCTTGACCGCCCTTCCCTCGGGGCATCTCCCCCACTCCACCGCCCTCGGGCCATGTCCTCCACTCCACCGCCCTCCCCACACTGCTGCTCGCCCTCCGCCACCTCTTCGCACTCCTCCACCCTCATCTCTCAACCCTCACCCCTCCCCACTCATCCCTCTCTCTTCACCCCTCGGCACTTGTCTCCTTTCCATCGCCCATTCCTTCCCATCCCTCATCTCTCACCCGTCCAATCCATCACCTCTTCCTGTTGCGCTTCTCTCTCCCCTCCACGCACCTCCCCTCTCTCAACTCTCTCTCTCCACCCCACCCCACCCCACCCCACCCCAACCCCACCCCGCCTCGTGTCGTGTGTGTGCGGCATGGGAGCAGGCGGGTGCGGGACCTGGAGCGGTATGTGTGGACGGTGAACCAGGGGGTCAACGAGGAGGAGGTCATGACGTCACTCTCGGAGGACATCCAGAGGGACGTGCGCCGCCACCTCTCCTACGAGCTCATCACCCAGGTAGGTTCAGCTCTGTCCATCCAATCCACCCCGCCGCATCTCCTCCTCCCCCGTCCAACCTTCCACGTCATGCCTCCCTGCTCCCCAAGTCCCTCCATCGCCTTATGCCTCCCTGACTCCCTGCCTCACCTGGTCCCCCATCTCGCTCCCCTCCCCCCCCCCCCTGCTTGCGCAGCACTGTGTGCTGCTGAAGGGCATGCCAGAGCAGGTGCTGGACGCCATCTGCGAGCGCCTGAAGCAGCGCCTCTACATCGACGGCACGCTACGTGCTGCGCGAGGGCTCGCCCGTGTCGGCATGTTCTTCGTGCTGCGCGGCACGCTGCAGAGCTCCACGACCAACGCGGCGCGCACAGGGTTCTACGAGGAGGTGCTGCTGGGGAAGGGGCAGTTTGTGGGCGAGGAGCTGCTCGTCTACTTCATTGAAAAGTACGCCGAGGTCTCCAAGAAACAAAGCTCCCGCCGCTCCCTCCGCCGTGAGTCCCCTTTCCACCCACTCCTGTCCGGCCCGCTCTCACCCCACTGCGCACAGCCACTCCACCTGCTGACATGCACTACCACACCTGCCACTCATCGCTTCGTGCTGCATCTCCCTTGAAACCTTTCCTGCCGTCCTTCCCGGCCGTACTGTGGATGGGTGGCAGGCGATGTGAAGGTGGGGTCGGCGGGGTGATGCCGGAGATGCTGCCCAAGTCGGAGCGCACCTTCTGCTGCATCGGGCCCCGTGGAGGGCTTCTCGCTGGAGGCGGTAGACATTGACTTCGTGTGCACGCAGTTCTTCACCGTCATGCAGTCCGACCAAGTGCAGCACGCCCTCAAGTACGCCCTCGCCCCGCCCCCACTCGCACATACGCTCTCACACACTGTACCGCCTTCCATCCTCCATACCATTGTCTCCTGCTTCCCGCCTAGCCTCACTTTGTCTGCCTCCTCTGTTGGCTCCCCTACTCCCGCCCCGCACCCCTGTGGTGTTTCTTCCCCCCCCAACAGCGAGTGCTCGTTGAACCGGCGCATGCGGGCAGCCACCACCATCCAGGTGTGGTACCGCTCGGTGCTGCGGCGGCGCCTGAAGCTGCCCATCGACGTCATGCGGCAGGCCCATCCGCACCAAGCGCATCGGCAACCTCCTGCGCTCCCTGCGCTCCCAGGCCTCCAATGAGGCCGGCTCTGGCTTGCATCCCCGTGGGGGGGAACGGCTCCGTGGGAAAAGGCTCGGGCAGCGAGCACGGGTTCGGCGGAGCATGGGGCCTGGCAGGGGCAGCAGGCGAGCCAGACAAAAGGATTGGCAGTGGCAAGGGGGGGCGCGTGGTGTTTGAGCCCCAAGGATAAGGAGAAGGGAAGTGCGAACGGGGCAAGGTGTATCGTGCACTGAGGTCGCTGGGAGGGGGAGGCAGGACATCAGAGAGCCATGGCAGCGAGGAGGAAGAGGCGGGAAGGAGGTGAGAAGAAAGAAGTCACAGCTGCAGAAGCAGGAGGTGACGAGAAAGGTGAGAATCAAGTAACCGAGGAAAATGTTGGAGGTGGTGATGCAAACAGCGTACAGGAAGAAGGCCTTCCCCAAGTGAATGTACACATGATTATACGGTAGCTTCATAGGAATCGTTAGCAGTTGTTATTTATGCATACCGTAGCAATGTCTATTTATGGTCAAAATGAAAATATGGAATCTGAAAGTTCAGGGAGTGTCCGTAAGTGCCAACTGTGGTAGGAGGATTCTTGAAGGATGAAAATTATGGTAAGGAATTTTCTCGCTATTCCCTTACCGCGACCGTCCACATCGCGTACAGCAGCAGCTGTTGTTCGCTCGTTAATGCTAACAGGGCTTCGCCAACTACGCGCGCACTTGTTTCACCAAACCTCGCACTGCTGGAGCAGCCGAGTCGGCCTACGCTTCGGGACTAACCCGAACCTCGCGCCAGCGTAGCACTAGCTAGCTCGCACGCACCGCGTTACCGTTTGCACATTTTCGCGTATAAGTATTCGCTCATGCCTTCGCTCATATTTTGTACTCATTGAAACACTCTAGTGCAATCCTCGCTACCTCGATTCATTGCACCCGTAACACTTGGTTATCATAGCCACTTTCTTTCGGACCGCGCATCTCCGCCACCCAGGAAATCAACTTTTGATTTTTCACTCGAAGGGACTCACGCCCCTTAGCACCTAGGAGCCGCTGTCCCGCGTTCTCTCGTAAACGCGTGCAGCCACGACTGCCGCTAGACTAAGCTGAGCCGACGCCCTTCGTTATGGCTGAACATATCGACGTCACGACGCTCACGCAGGACCGTTTGAACGAGCTGCTGCGGACAACTCCACGAAACTCTGAAGAAATCGCTGGCACTGACAGCCGAACGCACGTCCCTGCAAAATGACGTCGCACGAGCACAGCAAGCACAATCACAAGCACCTGGCACTCCGGGACAACCTGCACCACAGGCATCACAGCACGGAAGTGTGGGGCAACCCGCTGAGTGCGGCCAGTGATGGCGTCGTCCGCCACGACGGAGACGACGACCAAGGCACGACACACCCCGAAGCGACAAATGCGGCCAGGAGCCAGGCCTCGCGTCACGATTTCGGCACCGACCAATGATTCGGCACTGCCGTCACCGATGCCGCTGAAGCCGCAGCGTCCGCCGCATGCTTGTGACCCGAGTCAACGGGGTGGTCCTACCGTTCAGGCGTGGTTGTCACAGTTGAACTTATTTTTTGACGCCAACTACGTCTCGGAGGATACGGCGAAGATTCGCTGCGCCGTGTCGCTGCTGCGAGAACCCGCCATGGACTGGTGGCGCGTCATCGTCACGAAGCCGATGGACTACGCGACTCTACCGACACGGGAAGGGACAAACCGGACTTCTGGGCGCCGTCGTATTTCGTAGAAGGTGCCCCAATATCGCACGTGGGACGCGTGGTGCGCAGGTCTGCGCGCTCGATTTGAGCCAATTGCGGCTTCGATCAGCGGCGCGTCAGAGAAGCTCCGCACTTGGCGCCAAACTCGGTTCCGTCCAAGACTACACTAGCGGGTCCTGGCGCTGTGTGAGCAAGTGGGATACATGCACGAAAGCGAGCGCATCGACCGCTACATCAGCGGCCTGAAGCATGATATCGCCCAAGAATTCAGCTCCGCGGCGTCACCGACTTCCAGGAAATTCTCGCCATGGCGGAGAAGCTCGACTTCTTTCGCCGACCGAGGCCGGGGTCCTACGGAAGCAACAGCAACTGGGGACATCGATCTCGACGAGGGCCGCCACGATACGTGCCGTCGGTCGCGAATGCCGCTGCCGCACCTTTCAAAGGGCGCTGCTTCGCGTTGCAATCGGCCGGGACACCGCCAAGAGCGAATGCCTGGAAAACGCTAAGTGGAAAGGGGGAAGCTAAGCAGCAGGAAAACAGACCAAGCAGCAGGGAAACGCTGGGATTCAGTAGCAGACGGGCCCTCTACTGACAGGTCACGCCGCTCGCCCCGACCCAACCGACCCTCACGAGTGATTATGCCGGTTCACGCAATCGACCACACCGGCCGAATAAGGAGGGTACTACGGTAGACAGCCCCATACTGCTTAGCGGGAAAATTGGGACAGACTTAATTAAAAATATTCGTAGACGGGGGAGCCAGCCACAGTCTGATCAACATCGCCACGGCACGAAAACTGAGACTGCCACTGGACAGATGTTTACCTGGAGATCCGACGCAAGACTTGTTGACGGCACGCCACTGGCGATACGGGAACGCGTACACCGGGTTTGGATTCGATGCGGGGGTAACTTCACGTTTAGCCAGGAAATGCTCGCGACAACCCTCGACGGAAACCGACATTTTTACTCGGCCGTGATTGGCTGCGACGACACAATCCGCGAATCGACTGGACGACGGGTGACTGCACCGTGCGAGTGAACGGTAACAACATCACCTTACCTCGCTGGGGCTCGCCGGAGTCTTCGTCGGTGCGTGTCAACGCAATCACGATGAAACGCGCCGTACCGTTAGCGGCAGGAGCTGACGTGTACGCGGTCGACATTCGGGAAGCTGAGGCAGCAGACAAAGGGGGGGATTTATCGACTCGGCAGCACTATTGAAGCAGTACAGTGGGATTTTCCCGGATGACCTGCCGACAGGACTGCCACGCCTCAGCAGACGCACGGCCACAGGATAGAGCTAGAACCGGGGGCACAGCCAACAGTACAGCGACTGTTCCGACTGACCCAACCCGAACTGGACGAACTGAGGAAGCAGCTACACTACCTGCTCGAGAAGGAGTTCATTCGCCCGAGTCTCGTCACCCTTCGCAGCGCCCGTACTGTTCACACCGAAAAAAGGACGGGGGTTTTTCGCATGTGCATCGATTACCGCGCACTGAATAGGGTTACCATCAAATCCCGTTACCCCATCCCACGAGCTGACGAACTGATCGACCAACTGCGCCACAGCCCAGGTTTTCTCGAAAATTGACCTTCGAGGAGGCTACCACCAGATCCGAGTCAACCCACCCCAACTGCCCGAAAACAGCTTTCCAAACACGCTACGGATCCTTCGAATACACCGTCATGCCTTTCGGACTGGACAACGCCCCTGCAAGTTTTCAAATGACCATGAACGAAGCCTTTCGCCTGCTTTTAGATAAGTGCGTCATCGTGTACCTCGACGACATACTGATTACAGCCCAGACTTAGCACAGCACCTTCAGGATATTGAAGCAGCTTTTAAAATACTGAGTGAGAACCGCCTACTGACGACAGCATCTAAGTGTGAGTTTTTACAGGACTGATTGGAGTTTTTGGGACACTTTATTTCAGCTGAAGGAGTGGAAATAAGACCCGAAGAAGATCGCGACGATTCACGCGTGGCACACGCCGACAAATGTTGGTGGGTTCGTCAATTACGTGCGTCGGTTCGTCCCCGACATGGCGAAGTTGACTGCTCCGTTGACCGACCTACTGAGGAAGGGGGTTGAGTGCACGTGGGGGGAAACAGCAAGCTGCCTTCTCGGCCCTCAAACAAATTTTGTGCTCGCCGCCCGTGCTTCACATCGCAGATCCGCACCGTCCGTTCGAGCTCGTCACCGACGCAAGTGACATCGCCGTGGGAGCTGTACTGTTGCAGGACTTCGGGAACGGCCTCCAACCAATTGCGTACGAGTCCCGCAAGCTGCACCCGCCCGAACGCAACTATCCGATACACGACCGCGAAATGCTGGCGATCGTGCACGCATTCAAAGTGTGGCGATGCTACCTGACTGGCGCCGACGTGACAGTACGGACAGATCACCGATCTCTACAGTACCTCCGCGCCCAACCGAATCTCAACCCGCGACAGATCCGCTGGTTGGACTATCTGGAGTCCAACTTCCACTACACCGTCATGTACAAAAAAGGCGCATCAAACATCGCCGACGCACTCACACGTCCTACCGCCCAACTCCACGCCATCCTACTCGCCCAAACCAACCCACTGTTAACAGGCCTATCCACCCACAGATACAGTACCGACCCATTTTTCACGACCGGAAATTCACAGCAACCGGCAGAAACTAAGGGAGTCTATTACGTAAAAACAGGCACCAACTGCATTTGGGTACCCGCGTACTCACTACTGAGAGAACTGTTACTGTTACTGCACGAGGCACACGACGGGATTACCTCGGGCCACTTCGGGGTAGAAAAAACGCGACAGCAACTGCAGCGGTATTACTACTGGCCGGAGTTGTTGACCGACGTACAGCACCACGTGGGCTCATGTCCTACGTGTCAGGTGATGAAGAGCTTGTTAGAATGAGGAACGGAATGAGTGAACTAGAAAGCAGGTGGGTACAAGTAGGAAACACAAAAGTGTTGTACCCTCTAAGAACTACCCCACTACGGCCTAAATAGACTATAGCATATATAAGTTTGACACACCCCCATAGGCAAAGTGGGGGACAACAAGAGGTCACAAGACCAGTCAAGAAAGGCAAAGCAAGCTCAGGGTGGATCACAAAGTCACCACGCAGTCTGAGCACAAGCAAATGGCCACAAGGCCAGTTCACATGCAGAGTTATATAAAGGAAAGCAAACAATACAGTGAACACAACCTAGCAAGTGTAAGCATGCAGGTATATGTATATAGAATACAGTACAAGCAGAGTCAAGAAGTAAGCAAGTGAGGCACAGTAGGTACAAGGCCTAGAACAGTACAGAAACGTTGATGATCACAAGGCTGAAGTGCCTTGGTGAAAACATCAGTAGTATTGGCCTGTGAGGCCACGTAAGCAAGACGAAGCTGGCGACGCTGCTGCAACTCTCGAGCAAGGAAGTAGCGCAGAGCAATGTGCTTCGTTCTGTGCTCCAGTCTGTGCTCCTGACACAAGGCCGACATGGCCTTGTTGTCGACGTACAGAACTGGAGGAGAACGAGGCGCCTCTCCCAGGTTGGTCAGCAGGTAGGTAAGCCAGCGTAGCTCCTGTGCAGCCATGGCCCCAGCGTAGATCTCAGCCTCACAACTGGAGCTGAGAACAGAAGAAGAGCGGGTAGACCGCCAAGAGACAGAACCGGAGCCAAGACTGAAGGTGTAACCCTGCGACGACCGCTGCGTAGCCAAGTCGTCAACCCAAGAGGCGTCAGTGCGTAGAAACAGAGAAGGGTCAGCAGTGGAAGGAGCAAAACCAAGAGTAGCCAGAGTCGTCCTCAGTGTGTCGTGCCACTCACGGGGTGCCTGGCGGAGACCGTAGACTGGCCGGCGGAGGCTCCACTGGGTTTCAGCAGGAAACGACCCAGTGAAGCCAGGTGGGCGGCGCAGCCAGATCTCCTCGTGCAGGCTGCCCTGTAGGAAGGCTGTGCTGAAGTCAAGCGAGTGGAGCTCGTAGTCACGCTGAGCAGCTATGTGCAGTAGTACTCGAAGAGTGGTCATCTTCGGGGTAGGGAAAAGGTCTGGAAGAAGTCAACTCCCTGTCGCTGTCTGAAGCCACGTGCAACGTAACGCGCCTTGAAGACAGGCGGAGAACGCGGCGGCCGCTTCACCCTGAAGATCCACATGCCACTGACGGTGTTCCCCCCAGGTTGGGGAACCTCGTCGACGTAGGTGCCTGTGGACTTCCAAGAAGCCATCTCGGCGTCCATGGCTGCCTGCCACTGAGAGGAGTAGGGACCCTCTATCGCCTCTGCGTAAGAGCGCGGGGTCGGGATGTCTGGTGCATCCGGGTCTCCCTCAGGGGCAAGCAGCATGGACACGAGATGAGGTACCGCAGCGGCAAAGCACTCAAACTCCTCCTATCTGTCTTCAATAACGTCCGTGCCAAGAGCACACTCACCCCCGACGGATGGAGGACAGACAGACGCAGACGCAGACTCAGCAACATGACTAGTGGCGTAGTCTAGGCGACAGGCTGCAGCAACGAAAGCAGACGCAGTAGAGGACTCAAACAGAGGGTCAGTGACAGCAGAGGCCAGGAAGCGCGTGATTGTAGAACTAGCAGCACGAAGGGAGTCAGACTCCGGGTCCGGACCGTCAGGAAGAGAGGACGCAGGAGGAGAGGGAAGAGGGACACGTTGTGGAGCAGTGGAAGGACGCAGTGTCATAGAGTGAGTGCCAAGGACAGGAGGAGGACGCAGACTCGTAACACGACGACCAGCCGCGAACAGTGCGGACAGGCGACACAGAACGAGACACAGGCGACGCAGGGCGCGACTCAGGCTCACGACGCTCCGTAAGACCTCCAATCGGTCCAGAGTAAGGAGAAGGACCAGGCAGTGGAGAGGACGGCTGTAACTGCGACTGTGACTGGACAGGCGGTGGACTCAGTAGAGGAGGAGTAGGACCAGGAGAAGGCGGTAGATCAAGAACCTGCTGAAGGAGCGGAACGTAGTACGGCCGCGGCCGCGTAGCGCCTCCAGAAACAGCAGAGACAGCAACAGTACCCTCAGCTCCAGGGTCTCCAGGAACAACTCCCGCAGCACCACCAGCTCCAGTACCTGCAACTCCAACGCCTGCAGCACCACCAGTCCCAGCAGCTCCAGTACCTCCAATACGAGCACCTCCTGGACCAGCGGCTCCAGCACCAGCAGCACCTCCAGCAGCTCCAGCACCAGCAGTACCTCCAGCAGCTCCAGCACCAGTAGCACATCCAGGAGCTCCAGCACGAGCAGCACCTCCAGCAGCTCCAGCACCAGCAGCACCTCCAGGAGCTCCAGCACTAGCAGCACCTCCAGCAGCTCCAGCACCAGCAGCACCTCCAGCACCAGCAGTACGGCTACAGCGTCGAGCGTATCACTCACGAAGTCGCTGCGGAGAGAGGGGCTCCCGTCGCAACGGAACACCCGGAGAACCTCCAGACTCAGCACACGCAGGCTCAGCACCCCCAAACTCAGCACCCCCAGGCTCCACACGCTCAGGCTCAGCACCCCCAGGCTCAGCACCCCCAGGCTCAGCACCCCCAGGCTCCGCACCCCCAGTCCCCACACCCACTGGCTCAGCACCCCTAGCAGCACCTGAGTCGACAGCTACCTCGACCGGCTCGGCAGGGTCTACCTGAGACACACCTGAGGGGGCAGGGTTTAGGGGGTCTACCGGAGGAGTACCTGGCGCTAGGAAGAGCGGCGAGGGGGGGAGAAGGGCAGTGCGGTAGGGAAAGAGACGGTAGTAAGACACCGACTCGTCAAACGTGACGTCCTGAGAGGACAGAACACGACGCGAGGTGGGGTGGTAGAACTGCCACCCGGGTGCGTCAGGGGGGAAGCCAAGGAAGACGCAGGGAACGGCACGGGAGGACAGCTTGTCCGCTGAAGTATCGCGGACAAAAGCTCGAGATCCCCAGACACGGAACGCGGACACATCGCCAACCTTCCCCGTCCACCGCAGAGTAGGTGTGGTCTCCGGCAAGGAGACACGAGGCTGAAGGTTGATCTGATGCGCAGCGTACTGAGCCGCAAACGGCCACAGAAAATGGGGAGCAGCCGCATGGATCATGGACGTACGAGCGACGTCCATGACCATGCCAATGCGGCGCTCAGCAATCCCATTTTGCTGGGGAGAGGCCGGAAGCGTGAATGTCTGGCGGATGCCCTCCGCCCGATAGAAGGCCCTCAGAAGGTCGGAGGAAAACTCACCACCTCTGTCTGAGTGCAGACGCAGAACAGGAAGGTCCGAGCCGAAACGCTCACTGAGCTGACGACGGGCACCGTGGATCCAGTCGATCAACACCTCAGTGACCTCACCCTTGCTGCGCAAGGGGAAGACTGTGGTGTAACGCGAGTAGTCGTCAACCACCAGCAGGAAGTAACGCTCGTGACCTGTCCACGGACGCGGGCTGGGCCCCACACGTCCATGTGAAGAGTCTGCAGAGGAGCCTCTATCGGAGGGAACGTGTGTGAAGATTGAAACAGGAGAATGGGATGAACTAAGAAAGTGTGGGATACAAATATGAAAGCTGTACCCCTTAGTGTCTACCCCACTACAGCCTACATAGGCTAAGGCAATATATATCTGACACACACCCCATAGGCAAAGTGGGGGGGGGAGAACTAGGGGTCACAAGACCAGTCAAGCAAAGCAAAAGCAAGCTCAGGGTGGATCACAACGTCACCACACAGTCTGAGCACAGGTTCAAAGGCCACAAGGCCAGTTCACATGCAAGTTCATATATAAAGGTAAACAAGCAAGTGCAGGTATATATAGATCACACAACAAGCAAAGTCAAGAGGTAAGCAAGTGAGGCCAAGTAGGCACAAGACCTAGCATAGTACAGAAGCGCTGATGATCACAAGGCTGAAGTGCCTTGGTAAAGATATCAGCAGTGTTGGCCTGAGAGGCCACGTAAGCAAGGCGCAGCTGGCCACGCTGCTGCAGCTCACGAGCAAGGAAGTAGCGAAGAGCAATGTGCTTCGTTCTGTGCTCCAGTCTGTGCTCCCGACACAAGGCCAGCATGGCCTTGTTGTCTACGTACAGAACTGGAGGAGAACGAGGCGGCTCTCCCAGGTCAGTCAGCAAGTAGGTGAGCCAACGTAACTCCTGTGCAGCCATGGCCCCTGCGTAGATCTCAGCCTCACAGGTGGAGCTGAGAACAGAAGACGAGCGGGTAGACCGCCACGAAACAGAGCCGGAACCAAGGCTGAAGGTGTAACCCTGTGACGACCGCTGCGTAGCCAGGTCGTCCACCCAAGACGCGTCTGCGTGACCAGTGAGGACCACTGGACTCCGCCCTCCAAGCACTAGCCCCAAGCCCGAAGTACTGCACAAGTAGCGCAACACCCTCTTCGCTGCAGCCATGTGCTCTGGTCGGTGTCTCCCAGGAGCAACATAGCGCGCCAGAATGCTCAGAGGGTATGCTAGGTCAGGTCGAGTGCAGGTCATCAGGTACATGAGGCAGCCAACAAGCTCTGGGTACGGGCCACTCGGCTCTACGGACTCATCCGAAGGCAGAGCTGAGAGCGAGTGGCGAGTAGACAGAGGAGTGGCCTGAGGCGAGGAGTACGTGAAGTCGAAGCGCTGAAGGACCTGCTGCACCATGTGTGACTGAGTCAGGGTGATGGTGCGCCGTGCTCTGTCCCGGGTGATCTGCAAGCCAAGATAGCTGCGCAGTTCACCCAGGTCTGTGCACGTGTGTCTCTTCTGCAGCTCGGACTTCACGTGGGCGAGTCCAGCAGTGTCAGCTGTAGCAAACACCAAGTCGTCGACGTACACGAGGATGTAGAACGGCGGCAGTAAGGTGTCGGTGCGAAGAAACAGCGACGGGTCAGCAGTGGAAGGAGCAAACCCAAGAGCCGCAAGCGTAGTCCTGAGTGTGTCGTGCCACTCACGTGGCGCCTGGCGGAGACCGTAGACTGGCCGCCGGAGGCTCCACTGGGTACCAGGAGGAAACGACCCAGTGAAGCCAGGTGGGCGGCGCAGCCAGATCTCCTCGTGCAGACTGCCCTGTAGGAAAGCAGTGCTGAAGTCAAGGGAGTGAAGCTCGTAGTCACGCTGAGCAGCAACGTGCAGCAGAACCCGAAGAGTGGTCATCTTCGGGGTCGGGGGGAGAAGGTCTGAAAGTAGTCAACTCCCTGCCGCTGACTGAAGCCTCGAGCCACGTAACGTGCCTTGAAGACAGGCGGAGAACCCGGCGGCCGCTTCACCCTGAAAATCCACATGCCACTGACGATGTTCGCCCATGTGGGGGAACCTCGTCGACGTAGGGGCCGTGGACTTCCAGGAAAGCCATCTCTGCGTCCATGGCTGCTGCCACTGAGAGGAGTAAGGACCCTCTATCGCCTCTGCGTAAGAGCGCGGGGTCGGGATGTCTGGTGCATCCGGGTCTCCCTCAGGGGCAAGCAGCGTGGACACGAGATGAGTTAAAGCAGCAGCAAAACACTGGAATCCTCCTGCCGGTCCTCAAGGACGTACTAGACGTGCTAAGAGCACACTCACCCCGACGGACGGAGGACAGACAGACGCAGACGCTGACTCAGCAACAAGACTAGCGGCGTAGGCTAGACGACAAGGGAGACAGCGACAAGTTCGACAAGCTCTGGGAACTAAGGCAGACGCAGCAGGGA